TTGACTTGGTAGTCAAAAAACTAAAACCTGCTTCAGCCTAAGCAAGTTCTTTAAGATGACATCTCCCTGGCAGTGCAATTGCTTGATACTGCTTTCTGCTGATTTCCAATGTGATCCATGCACAAATCTCATTCATCTGAAAAGGTAGCACCTTTTTCACTGTTTCACCTCAGGAAGTAAATTACTGGATTCTAGCCTGATTTAGGTCTAATTCTGCCTGGCAGAACTAAATCTCACATTTCTTATGGCAGTCCTATTCAAAAAACAGCTTCAACATGGAAGAGGATCTACTCTCTGTGATGAGACAACACCCTCTGGTTGTGATGTGGAGCAAGAGGACAAGTTTCTCAGAGGAAATGAGAGAAGGAAGGCATCAGTATGGTGGGAACAATCCACATTCTCATTTTGATTTGGCTTTATGCACACCCTTCCATCTGAATGAGGATACTGTTGTAATTTCATGAACCTGAATGCTCCAGTAGGAAAAAAAACAACCAACCAACAAATATTCTGAAGAACTTAGTGGCTATCATTATGTATATGACAAAGGAGAGAGAGAAATAAAATATCAAGTACTGCTAAAACAAGCTCTAAATCTAAATCCTTTCTTCTTAAAATCAAAAATCTAGAACTTTTTCATCCGAGTCAGGATGCGATTATGTTAGTGAAGAATCCACTGTCTCAGTAGGGCAGAATCTTCTGTTTTACTTGATACAACTTAAAATGGCTACAAAAATATGTATAGAATAATTTTCTGATTTGTGAATAGTGCAGCATTGTGTATTGTATCAAAATAAAAACAGTTTAGTAGTTCTATATCCTGAAATTACATGTCAACAATAGTTTTCCTGGAAATAGAGAAAACAGAAAAACTGCAAAGCAGATGTCAAATAAGAAATCAATGCAAACAAAATTTATGATCATATTAAAGAAATAGAAGACAGTTGCAAATATTAAACAACAAATATCTACTGGGTTTTGTGAGGCTAGAACTTCTGGGTGTTCTTAGGCACTCAACTTATTGGGCTGTTTTCTTCAATGAGTTAAGCAGCTAATAGTTGCTACAAAGTTGTTTATGGCAGAATCACATTAGTTTTAAAAGCAAAAGTCAAGCAAAGCAATGGCAAAATGCAGTGGCAAAATGCACCAGCTCTCCCTAATGCATGTTCTTTTATAGAAACTTTCCAAGCTAAGCTAAGACAAAAACTCAGACCACTACTTCTTAACCTATTAGAACTCTAGTTTCTTAGCATGCCAGGCTACGTATAAACTACGTACATGGCCTACCTTGTCCTATCTGAAAAATGTAAGTAATATTCTTACTATAGCTTTATTATGTCTGAAACTATGTTCTTGGAGCCTCCACGGAATTCCTGGTATCTAAGACTGTGTTTTTCAACCTTCACTAGAACGTGTATTATTACTCTGGTATCCGAGACCTTTACTCATTAAAAGCACTTAAAACTTATTCCACTCATTTACTTACTTACTCCATCTACTTACTCATTCCATCTACTTACTTATTTACTTACTTGCTCACTCATGCTAAAACCTAAACTTTCACTTCTGCCTTATGTGTGAGTGGCTTAACATACTTCAATCAATCCAAAGGCTTTAATTCAATCCCTGCACTCTGATCTCTCTCTAAAGAATTCAGAGAGACTCCTGATATACTGACTCCAACAGGGTTTGTTATTACAGAGGTCTTCTTTGATTTTTTTCTTATAATCAGATTTGCCTTTTTTTTTTTAATAAATGGAGAATTACATAACTGCCCAAGGCTTTACTTTTTGGAGCTAAAGCACCTGATACTGGTTAGTTAGATACTAGAGAAGACAGAATGTTTCACCATACACTGAAGAGTCCCAATGTCTTGACCAAGGCCTGTAAAATGTTAACAGTAACTCTTGAGCAAGTTGTATGTGTCCCTCAATTACTAGCCTGGAATGAGGCATACACCAAATGCTACCTGAGTATTTTGCTAACTGATAACTTTTGCCTTCTTTGATCAAAATATTTTGCAATTTCAATGAATACTTAATATCTCCACAGGTTATAGTCCAGGCATCAAATAGAAAAGTCCATTGTTGAATGAAAGATACAGTTAGCAGAGTATAACTAAGAGACTCCCATTTTCAGAATAATCTCGATGTATGTATTTTTTTTGTTTAGAAAGTGAATTAATTTCGTTTTTAATTTTTTAATCCATGCAGACCATGAAGGTCATTTTCTAAATATGACCTGACTATAAACTGAGGTACTTCTATACTGGGAGTTTTTCCAGGGTGTGGCAGAAATATGCTTTTAGGAAAAAAACTGGGGTAAGATTCTCCAAAGGCTCTGACTCTTTTAGCTGCTGGAAAAGGAGATGACATGTGAGATCAAATACAGCAAAATTATTCGTTTGTAGTAGTGTACTAACATTTATATATGAGGTTTTGTCTTCTACAGCATGAGGATTAAATTCAGGAAGGTAGGTGTGCACCACTATTCGACCTCCTGCATGTGTCCAAAATAAGCAGCTTTCAGAGGCCAAAAAGGCAGTTTGTGTAAAACTGGCTGGAAACTTCTACTGCCCCTGAGGCACCTGCAGGTGCTCTCAAGCAGAACCTCCCAACAGAGGGAGGTCACACATTGTTGTCAGTGCTCCTCATAACATCTGTAAACCATGATCCAGAAACACTCACACACTCCATTTATGTCATCCCAGTAGAAGGCTGTGTCCTTTCTGACACCACACAGGAGGGATCTTTATAGAAGGTGTAATATTTTGGTTTAGAGATCAGCTGCTACCTTAATACCACAGCAGACACCTAGAACTCCAGAAAAAGACCACAAACAGCTGCAAAAAGACCATGCAACAACTGCATGCAGTTTTTATTGCACAATATGTTATTGTCCCATTGTTTTATCAGGAAACTTGGCAATCCTGTGCTGCATTCTGCATTTTCTACAGGAAAAAAAAAACCACCTCTCACACAATAAAACCCAAAACAAACAAACAAAACCCTCCACAAAACTATCAAACAAACCCCCACATCCAGAGGGTTGTTGCTGACCACTACCAACAACTACACTACACACCACATGATTTAACCTCATAAAAGCACACACACAATGCAAGGTATTTAACATCTACCCAGCGGGCATGAAGTTCCCTGTATGCTCAGTATTGTTTTCCTCAATATTTATTTCCATAGCAGTGTCAGATTACTTCAGAGCCAATTTTCACAACAGAAGATAAGAGATCACTGCCATTTCAGAACAGCTCAGAACACAAAGATTATAGGATTACATCAGTGTTCATCTTGGCAAAGACACTTTGTGCAACACTAAATAGGGATTTTTCACATTGGCATCCTCGTGCCAGCATTTGAGCCCATACACTTCTCATAATTAGTTCATTATAGTTTTATCCAGTTTTTGTCTTAATTATTTTCTTTTCCATTTTGGAGAGTATAAGGAAATTATAGGAGATATACACACATTATATGAAATGAGCAGGGTACAAAAGCAAAGCATAAGAAAAAAATATTGGTCAGTGTATATAGAAGTCATAAAATATCATATGGAAAAAAATTGTTATAATTTGGTCTATCTTACAAACTGTTTCCACAAAACAGATCCCACAGAAGAAAAGGAAGTATTACTTTTCATTTGTCTTGAAAGTCCTCAACTTAAGCACATACCTTAAGACATGAGGTACCTCTTCAGGTTTCAACTACATACCAAATCTCCTGAGAAAACATATTCTGGATGCTAATCTTATTTACCTTGAAAGTTCACACTGCCAAGTACCTAAAAGCATGAAATAAATTAACTAAAATTAAAATTAGTCTCTTTGGAAAACATGTCGTGTGTATTATATGCATTACATATGAAGGTGGTCTCAAAGGTTATCTCATTATAAAGAAGATAATGTTTAGATTCAGCCCTGGAAACTGAAATTCTTGGTATTATACAGCAATGAAACCTATTTTTGAAAAAGAAGGCTGAAGAATGGAAGTATTATTTTTGTCTTAATGGTAAAATAAAGGTAGTGATTTTAGACTATTTGTCAAGATCCGTGATTTCATTTATGTAAACTAATCAGTTAAACACTTTCTTTTTAGAAGATCCTCAAAAAATGTTAAAAACTAGGCTTATCAGAATATAAAAAATTTGGCAGGTTCAAGGAGACCTCTAATTTATTTGGAATTAACATAAATTATTTTGTCTTTACTATTATATTCTGCAAACTACAGCAGTATCCCAGGTATTAAGTGACTAAGTGTTGTTAAAAGGACACATGGAAACAAATGAGAAAAAAATCTGTAAATGTCAACAAAATGAGTAAGAACAGATCACTCCTTTCTTATTTTGTTTATTAATCATTAGAGTGGACCAGTCCATATTAGTTGTATCAGCTCTGACCTCCAGTTTCTCATCCAGTCCCCCTCTGCAGGTTGCCCACAGCCCAAGAACAACCTTAAAGACAAAAACACACCAAAAGCCCTCACTGCCAAGTGCAAGAACACCTGAAGACACAAATGTGGTTATTGGTGGGCACTCCTCCTTGCACAGTGCCAGCCATCATGCTGGAGCAACACACACCAGCCAAAAGGAGCCCAAAAGCATAGGGCACAAGTAAAGCCAGACCAGCTAGAGGACCTCAGCTTGGTTTAGCACCAGCTTTTTCATCAGAGCTTGCAAAAATTGTAGAGTCTGTTGTCCAGCTGTATGGCCTGTAGCAGATTTTGACCCATCCTGAAAGTACAATTAGAAACTTCCACAGGCACTTCATTCCATCACTGTAATTCCTCTTCAACATCAATTAGAAAAAAAAACTCTGTACGTTGCCTTCAGGCCACTAGAAGCCAAAAGTACACTGGCTCATTGTTTCAGCTTTGACTAGCACAGCAAAATCTAGTTGACTGATCACCCTAGAGGAACTGATGCTAAGAAAAAACTATTCATCAGCAATTTACCTGCACATAGGCATGCAATTTCAACAGATACAATTTCAGTCTACATTGAGGCATAGTAGAAGTTTATTGTCAAAGTTTGTAATAATAAATTGCTTCTGTTATTGTGAAATTCTGTGTTTAATTTGCATACTGTCTCGTTCCTGCTATGTTTTTACAGATTAATGCTTTTGGTACAGTTTGCCAAAAAATAATTCAGATCACTCCTTTCACAAACTACTGTAAATGTTTACCAAGGAGGAATGAAATTATCAGAGATTTTTGCTTGATCTTTACAGAGGCAGTCATGACAAAAAAATAAAATGGTGTGCCAAGAAGAAGGATTATCACTTGTATTTTTCAGAACCAAAGAAACCTGAAAACCTTAAAAATACTTGAGACTTCCAGCTACTTGGAAAATGCCATGGCATGTAAGCTGATCATCACAGGCATTGTTGTTGTTATTACCATAGCTAAAGTTTTTGTGGCACTGTGGCAATAGAATAGCTTCATCTGAGCAGATAAGGCACTAAAACTTAAGTTTCAATGACTTGCATTTCCAAGATTAACATGAAGTTTACAAGCACTATAAAAGTAGAGCAACTAGAGCTATTACTACATCTTTTTTAATAAAACAGTAACAAATAGTTTTAACAAATTGCTGGGCTGATATCAAAATATTTGATTTTAAAATATGTCTCAGCCTAAATAGATTGAAACCATTTTGGAAGTAAACTCTTAAAATTCCTTTTATTCTGATGCAGCATTTGGTCTCCTCTTCAGTTTAATCCAGATGCCGTTATTTGGACGAAGAATCAATTCTCCACATAAACCAAGCTCTTCTGGCTTTTGACATGATTCTACCCAAAAGCGCCGCAGGATGAGGGCTAGAAGAGTTTTCTCCTCCATTTGTGCAAAGCGCTGACCTGTGAGTTACAGGGCAGAAAAAAAAATAGTTATTGTCAGGTTGCATCAACAGCTGCTGAACTTGCATGCTCACAGGACTTAAGAACAGAACTAGCTTTAGGCCAAATCAAGTTCATGTGGATACAACTAACACTAGCACTTTTCTCTACATGAAAACTCTGGCCTTTTTGGGATAATCCACAGTACGCCCTCCTTCCCATAGTACACAGAACTCAAACAGCAACGTGCAAACAGTCAACCCTTTGTATGGAGCTACTACAAAACACGGCATTGTCACGTCTCTTCGATGGACTAGGCAGGGAGGATGGATAGCAGACCACAGCAGAAAATGGAGCACAGGGACTGTGGGGAGAGAAAAATCTCATGGTTCCATATATGTGGAGAAGAGCAAAGGAGATGCAACTGCAATGCAATGACAGCCAGACTTTCCTTCAGTGATCATTAAGCCTCATACACACTGACAATTTGGTAGCACAGAAGACAAAGTTCAATTTACAATCCACAGATAGGTGAAGGAGAAAACATGAGAACAGAGAAATGTGAGGGAAACCAAAGCAAGTGCCACAATCCAGGCAGTTCACAAAAACTAAAAAATGGAGATGGGACACAAAACGCAGTGCTGAGAACTTTTCATGTTCTCTCCTCTGTATTATATACACAGATGGCTGTCCATACATATGTACACACGATGCACTTCTGCAATGATACTAATGAACCACCTCTCCTGCACATGTTCCTGCACACTCAGGAACTCAGGATGGATGTTCCCCATCTGCACTTAAAATCAGTGCAGGAAACAGTCTTTTCACATGTTGTACAATATAAACAACACTGCCTCTACTTGAAGCATAGAGAAATGCCAAGCGTCTCAGTGACATCTGAAAGTGCTAACAAGTTCTGGGATGACAGAGAAAACATCAAACCAACTACAGTGTCAGAAATAGGGAAAAAATACACCAGTTGCAGATTGCATGCTTTGGACATCCAACTCAGAACCTGAGAAAGACAGATGAGGTGTTTCCAGAGCAAAGCAAGTGCAGGACATGTGTCTTCTCTCATTCTGTGTTGCTGACACCAAGGATTTGGAAGCAACCATGTCCTAACACAGAAGTCCAATAACATGCTGCCAGGCTGCACAGCAGTGAGGAAGAAACATCAGCATGATAAATAATTGTGCCAAGGAAAAAGGAAATCCTTCAGAAAAAAACAAATGGGGCAGCTCAAATACTAGGCTTACAGGGCACACAGTGCCCAGAATTCAGGGCTGGGGAGTGAGGAAGAGCACTATACAAACAGTACTCGTTGATGACTCAGTTACCACTGTTGCATTACTGTTACATTACAAAGGCTTCCTCTTCAGATACATACCAATGCAGTTCCTGGGACCAGCTGAGAAGGGCACATAAGCATATGGGTGCCTTCCCTTACTATTTTCAGGGAGGAATCGCTCAGGCCTGAACTCCTCTGGGTCAGGGAAAATCTCAGGGTCTCTATGCAAGGCATAGGTTAAAACAAGGACATTTGCACCTCTTGGTATCTGATGTCCCTCTAAAGAGAAGAGAGAAAGGGAAAAGAAGAGTCAAAACAACAGCAAACATGTGACTTCCTATACACAACAGAACAGTAAAAAACAAAACAGTGCTGCCCTTTATTTGGGAAATATCTCCACTGCAGAAATGCTAAGACAAGGGAAAGGGGCAAACACAGAACATCACTTACTAATACAGCAATCCTCTCTCAAGGTACGGGCAAACATGGGAACTGAAGGGAAGAGACGAAGAGCTTCTTTCACAACACATTCAAGGTATCGGAGATTCTTCAAATCATCCGTTGTAACAGAACGTTCAGTATTGTCTGTCCAAAAACAAATAGAGGGATGACCAAGACCAAAACTCCCCATCTTTGGCTAAATAAACTCATCCTGGATCCCCCCAGAAACTCTCATCATGCACCAAGACAACATACAAGAAGGTGCTATATACTGAACATGTATATCTTGCCCCAAAGACATAAGGTTGGTCGAACATCCCCACAGACCTTCCCACACCCATCCCACCACCTCTAGCAGCTGAAAGCTCCAGAAGGGTTACATGACATGCTCTTAAATCCCCTTCTACTTCTAGGCTTTTAACACATTGCCACTCATAAATTCAGCAAAACTTCAATGAAGGGGTAATGGAAACTTACCAAACACCTCGTCCAATTCCCTTTGAACCTTCTTCTGAACTTCTGGATTATGTCCAAGCAAGTACAAGACCCAGTTCATAGCAGCTGCTGTTGTATCATGGCCCTACAGGTCCAGATTTAAAAAGACATTCACTTCAACTCTATTCCCATGCACCAGTGGGTTTTGTAAATACTTAGGTGTGCAGTTAGCATGAAAAGTGAGACTTATTACTCTCATGACCATGACAAAAACAATAATCAAGAGTGAATAATTCTATACAACACACTAAATATCGAGATAAAAGGTAATCCACAATTGTGCTGACAAAAGAGTAAAGTACTGAACTAACCCAAGCAAAATCCCTCTCTTCTGATTCTCAGGACCTGTGAACTGTGAACTATCAGTATCTACACAATGAATCAGATGTATATTCATCTTTTTGGTTACTGTTTAGTCAGCATCTGGGGGGGCAGTGACTATCACAGGAGAGATACCATGGACACAACTTGTAACTTTTACAAAACTGTTTAAAATTGTCTGATGAGACACAGTACAGTAGCCATAGCAGAAAATACTTGTTTTTCTATGGGAAAGATAGGAAAGGAAAGGAGAGGCAAAAGGTGAACCAAAGAAGGAAAAAAACCAAACCAAACCAACAAACAAACAAACAAAAAAAACAAAAAACAAACAAACAAAAACAAAACAAAAAAAGCAAACACCAAAAGGGAAAAGTTGACCAAAAAAGGATTCCGATACTAAAAAAATCACACTTGTAGTGAAGTTCAGGAGATGAGAGTTTCCTTAGGCTCCAACAGCATTAATAGGATTCTGTGAAATAAGCTCTTCTGAGAGAATTCAGGTCCATCTAATGGAAGTGTGTATAAAACTCATGAAAATCTTCTTCAGACCCCCCCCTTATGGAATCTGACAAAAAGGAGGGCCTCAAAGATAGGGATGGGACACCTCTCCTATGAAGACAGGCTGCGAGAGTTGGGTTTGTTCAGCCTGGAAAAGAGAAGGCTCTGGGAAGACCTGATTGTGGCCTTTCAGTACTTAGAGAAGACTTAAAAAAAAGAGTGTGACTTCTTACATGAGCAGTCATGTAAGTAGTAGGACAAGAGGAAATGATTTTCAACTAAAAGAGTTGAGATTTAGATTAGATGTTAGGAAGAAATCTTTTTACTCAGAGATAAGTGAGGAATATGTTGCCTAGAGAAGTTTTGAATGGTAGGGATGGGGCCCTGGAAACCTAATCTAGTTGATGACATCCCAGCCCATGGCAGGAGAGTTGCAACTAGATGATCTTTAAGGTCCCTTCCAACCCAAGCCATACTATGACAAGTTTCTACAAGACGAAGCACTGATTCATGGTGGACAACAGAACCAGAAGACTCTAGCCAACGCAGCAAGGGAAAAAGTGTGAGGAGACATGACAAAATGCAAGTCAAAACAGTGAAACTAGAGGTCTCTTCAGTGTTAATGAAATTTGAAAGAAAGGGCAAGAGCCCAGGTCTATGTCAGCCATTAAGCTTCCATTTTGTCACCAGCTTTCGTGAGTAGACCCTGCTCACATAGGCAGGCTAAAAGCAACCTCCTGAACTAAGACAAGTCACCACCTGCAAGTTCTGAATCTTGGGTTTGGTGGAAAAAAAACAAAAAAATCCCAGCAAACAAAACCATACAAAAAACCAACAACAAAAAAGAAGAAATCAATTAGTTCCTTGGTTACCTCAAACATAAAAGTATCCACTTCCTCACGAATGTCCCTGTAGCTCAATTTTTTCCCTTCATCATCTGTTGCATTCAGCAGCATGTCCAGGAATGCTTTTCTCTTTCTGGAACCATTTTCTTCACAGTTGGCATCACTATCATGTTTCTTTTGCTTGGTGCTTTTAAGTTCCTCCGCTTTTTCTGCAATGACCTGAGATTAGAACCATTGCATCAGATATGATGAATTCAGCACAAGCCATCTGCCTCATACGGTTTTGTCTTAATTTATCAAAACAACAGCATCCATCTGTAGCAGTCTCCATGAGCTAGTTAGCACAGCTGTCAGCATTAAGTCATGAAATTTAACTGACTTTTTGTATTAGTAGTGAATTATGACCAAGCTCTGTTGCCCCAAGCAATTGAATAAACCTTGAACAGCCTTTGTGTGATCAAGAAAATAGATAGTCAAACTATATAAACAACTTGGGGGTCATCTAGAAACGTAAACATATCCAGAACATGCCAATCATGATGCCAATAATGGCAACAGCATACCAAAAACATCACCACAGTGTGAACATGCTAATCACCAATACCCATTTCTCTATCCCATCTGTGAACTAAGGAAAGATTTCACTCCCAAACTCCAAAAAAACTCAGGAAACTGAAGAGAAGCCAGGGCATCCCAAAACCCTGCATCAAGGCTACACACTGTTGCTGAACTCGCTACACTAAAGCTTCCCAAATTTTCTTCAGTATGAGAGCAATGGCTGGATTTCTCTTTTTTAGGTAAGAGTACAGATCCAGCAACACAAATAAATTTCTTACTATTGCCACTGTCAATGCAAAGCCAAAACAGAACTCTTCAATAAACGTGACATTGCTCTTAAAAACAACCAAATAATTTAAAAGGGTGTAGAGTATGCAATTCTCTTTGGAGAAATCACTGAATGGAAGAAAAAAATACAGTTCCATACACACACTGTTTCCCTCACTGAACATGCATGTGTGTCACATCATGACCTATCCTTCATCTCAGTGCTTGCTGTCAGCACCCACACTGCTGTGCAATTATTATTTACAGTCCCTCATAATCTTCTAAGATTTGGTTTCTTATATTCAGTGCACCAGCCCAGCATGGGAAGAGTTATCTTACGTCCTCTTAAGAGCCTCTTTAATGACTCACTGTTGCAGCTTCCAATAAAAGGAAGCAAAAAATACAACACAGAGTCAGTGTGGCTTATTATATGTAGCCAAAGTTCAAAGATTATTTCCTTTGTTGTAGACATTGATACAACAACATCATGGGGTACATGCATAGGGAAAGCAGTCTCTCTGATAACATCCTAATAGTAGACTTAAGAAGGCAAACTTTGGCAAGAATAACATAGGAATTATTTGGTTAGAGAAAGGGCTGTTACTTCCACACTCTAACAAGATGAAAGAACACTTTATTTTATGCCAAGTGAGTGATGCATGCCTAATGATTTCTGTATCAAAGTGCCTTACTGCTGATGTGGGGACCTGCATTTGTTTGCTCCTCTCAGCAATTCTGTTCTGAATAGGGGGAAATGAATACAGGCTTCAGTTTCTGAGGACTGAACCCAGTGGCACTACCATGCAGAGCCCTATGTTTACCGCTCCAAACTTGGCAGTGAGCCATTGGAAGTGATCCAGATGTGAAACTTTTCAGGCAGAACAGGAGTTCAATGAATTTCTGTTGCTTGTTTCAGTTGTCAAGAACCTGCAAGTTCTGGCACTGCTCTGGAGTAGTCTACTTTCTCATTTATATTCAACAGAGATCCTGAAAGGGATGTCAGCTCTTGTCTTCTTTTCAGGAGAACGCCCCAGCATCCCAATAGAGAGACAGGAGGCTGAATCTCATCCCCCATTTGGAAGATCTGAGTGCAAAACTGACCCAACAATGAAAATTAACATTAGAAATAATTTTTTTTTTAAAAGACTGTAATCTGTAAAATTTACTGTATCTGTAAAATTGTGAAGGATGTTGAGGTTCCTCTTGTGCTCTCTTCCTTCTTTGAACAATATATATATAAAATCAGGCCAAAGCCAAGGGCTCATCTGTCGCCGTTGGATTAGATCACTCATCCTAGGAGCAAAACAATTATATAATGTAATATTCCTTGACAAAACCCACCAAATTATAATACGTTTCAAGAACAAAAAAAACCCTATGTACCCTAATTGAAGTAGAACTTAACATATTGTGTAGGTTTAAACCCATTATTTGAAAGGAAGGCCATTCACATTTGCATCTTGATTTTACACCATCTCAAAATTTCTGTTACTTATCCCAGCATAACCACGTTTTATGTCTTTAAGTATTGATCTCTGAGAAGGACAGCATATTCTCATTTAATCCTCATTTTAATTCTCATTGGAATCCTCCTGAAACAGTCCTATTAAGTCACCCAGTCCAGTCACATGCCACTTCAGTAAAGCACTGATAGTGCTGTAAAGACTACTCATGACAGGCTCCCAAAGCATCTGCCCCAAGAATTCAAAGTTTCTGAGAGCACTGTATTCCCACTTGAATGTCCAGATATCAGACCACATATAAAAGTACTTCAAATGTATTTAAAATGAACAATATGAGACTTCAAGTATGCTCAAACACAACTGGAGTACATTTGGAAGGGCTGATTGTCATTGCTATTCAGCTCTTGCACATGCTTTAGCTGCAGAGGAATAATTATTACCAACTTCAAGCACGCTTGTGGTACCATTTGGAAAAGGCCAAGGAACTGATAATGAAACCCTTCAGATCTACCCCTGTGTTTGTATTATACCTGTCTCAACAAGCTCCATCAAAAGCTAGGAGTGAGATCATAGAATCACAGATTCATTTCGGGTGGAAAATACCTTTTAGATCATTGAGTTTAACTGTTAACCCAGTCCATTGCTACACCATGTCCCTAAGTGCCATAGGAACATGTCCTCCTATGTTCTCCAGGGTAGTGACTCAAGGTTAGTCTGTTCCAATGCTTTACATCCCTCCCTCTCTGACTCCCTGGCCTTCCTTCCGGACACCAGCAGCATTAATTCCAGCTCAGCTACAAAGTAAGTAAGGAAAATGTGTGTTTACCTGTAGATAGCAGAAACATAGTCAGAATCCTTATTCTTCTGGGCACCCACATTCCTGCCCATTGCTGTTTCTAGGAGGAAAACATCGACATTTCACAAGTGCAAACTGAAATGCAGCGTACACAGTAAGTTACTACTGCTCCCAGCTTCTGACTATCATCACACTATCCCTTTGAAAAGTGAATACACATATCTCTTTGCAGGGAATGAGCTTTCTTTGTATTTCAATGCCCAAGAATCCTCCTTCTCAAGACAACCTCACTTCAGCCTGCTACCTCTGTCCTGCCAGTCCTACAAACTCAGCTGCTCAGATGAATGTAGTAAACCCTGGGAAAAAAAGTTGGGAAGGATGGAAATGTATTTAGAAAATATGCAGGGTCATTCCTCTTCAATCATCTTACACAAACTGGCACAGCTAAACTCACAATCTTCTGCATCATTCACAGTTAGACCACAATAACTGAACAGGACTTACCACAAATGATATCAAGGGCACATAGAGTGATATCCATAAAGACATTAAATGGCTCCTTGTCAACATGCTGCTCAAGTTTCTCCACCAAAATATTTCCTTGCTCATTCATGACCTCTAGAAAGTCATTCAAGATTGCGAAGTGGAATGTGGGAGTTATCATCTTCCTCCGTGACCGCCACTTATCTCCAGTGCTGTAAAATCAATGAGGAGAATGAGGGCTAAAAAACTCCAAGTCAAAAATAATATCCTCACCATTACAGGACGTACACAGTAAATACTGCAGCCTGAAAGAGGTAGACACACTGTAGATGTCTCTTCAAGCTGTTCATAGCACTCCAGAGAAGGAGCAAATGGAAATATTTCTCACCTCTGCACACTGCTACTGATTACTTACTGTCTTCCTAAAGGCCATGAACCAAACTCAGGATAAAATGCACGATCTCACATCCTCTCACATGCACTTGCACTTCCCACATCACATGATCACAGCTGGCTTTTACAACACCATGGTCCCATCATAAAGCTTGAGGAGTCCACCTCTGAGGGCTCCAAACAAGCAACAAAGTTAACCACTAACACGGGGACCTTGACCTTTTTTCAAAAACTCAGAAGAGGCTCAAAGGTACCAAAGCCACTCTATACTTATCTTGTTCTGACTCTTGAATATCTGCTTCATCCAGACCAATCCTTCTTTTGCTCTTCCAAGACTGGAGGACACAAAACCCTTATAATACTGCTCCTCCTTCTCTCCACTCCTGATTTATGCTCCTACCCAGGCTCACTTGTCATGATCCCCTATTTCATGAATGAAATGACAGAATGGGTGCAGATACTCTCCAATCCTACCCCAAAGCATCACCAACCTCAGGCCTATCCTACTGGTCTGCAGTATGACCAGCTGAGATAAGCAATGTACACAGTCTCTGTTCAGAAATACATACAGCATTCCTGTCACCAAGACCTCTTCTTATCATATACCCTGCAAATTTCAAAAAGACAGCAGTGCACTTGCATTTCGTTGTACATTATACCTTGTCAGAAGTCCAGTGCCCAGCCACGGATGCAGGAATTTGTACAGGTATGATTTTTCTATATGTTTTGAACTGTTCAGGATAACCTGCCAGAAAAATGAACAGAGAGGAAAAATATTATTTGTTAGATGGAGAGAAATTTCTTCACCATTTCTTCAATAAACACTCAAGGACAATCACTGTCAGCAGCAAAACTAATGACTACATTTCATGTCATCAAAACAGACCCATCAAATTTTAATGCAAAAATCTGTCAATGAGACACAAGCATTGCAACCTGAATTTCATAATGTTCTATCCTTATTTCAATGGTCGCATCTTCTCCTCTGTCTGCTAGTTTGTTCTGATCTTAGGGGCAGAAGCTTTCGCACCTGTGAAAAAAAAGCTAAAGGAGATACTTCTTTGGTGGTTTCATTTGCTGGTCATCTTCAGTATTCCCCCCAGTCCTCTCTGACTAGGCCTTTTTATATTCCTTCACTTTATGCACTAACTCAGAAGACCATACCCAAGCAAATCATTCCAAGCCCTTCTTAACAAAAAATTATGTTGAGATAATAGAAACTAACAGGTTGGACACTGCTCTGCATGACAGACTAGACAGGAGACCAGCACACTCACCTCCACATTGTCAGGGTGATACAAAACCATGACAGGCACTGGTCCTATCCAAAGTTTGAACAATGGCCAGCTTCTGAACTCTTCAGCATAATGTTGTAGCTGTTTAAAAAAATCTGGAATAGAAAATCAGAGTAGAGCTTCAACAAGGGGGATTTACAAAATAAGCAAGGCTTAATGAACTCCTTTGCACCATATGCCCTGCAATTTTGCTTTTGTTGTAGTTTTAACATGCTGCTGTGACCAAGCAGCATAATTTGTACCTGTGGATTTTACAATTCAGATGTCCTAATCTCTTCAGGCACAGACTCATAGCAGCATTTATGCCACCAATCAGCCTGAAGGATACCACTGCTGTCCAGCTGTGGGCACTCATTTAAGACAGCCAGCCTGCAAAATATTCCAGGACAGAGCTCCTCAGCTCTGTTCCCAGCCTGATAAGCTGGTCCAGCTCAAGGCTAGGGAGAACTTCTCCCAGGATGATAACTTGGTCAAAATAGAGAGAAATTAATAACAAAGATAGAACACCTGTTGTGGTGTGTGACCAGGCCCTGGGAATTGTGTGTCTTCTCTCTGAACCAATCATTTTTTTTCTGTTCTTGGAATTGCGAGTCATGCTATAAAAACAAGTGTGTTTCTGAATAAACTTGTCTCTCTCTTTCCTATCATGAAAGACGACCATGTAGCCGTGCATCTTATTTCTGCTGCACTTAAAGGGTTAAAACCCCTTTCCACGGCTAAGGTGCAGCTGCCAGTTGGACTTCACACCAGTGAGTTCAGCAACCCAGCAAATTCTCCTCCCACATTATTATACAATTCTCCAGCCCATGTCTTGTCAATTCAGCTATACAGAAAGCATAGGAGATTGCGGAATCTGTTGGCAAGGGAAGAAAAGTAGATGGTGTTGGATTTGATTCAAAAAGGTCTTTCATACTATCTCATCACAGAGGGCAGTCAGGTTCATTCTGCAGTATTAGAGGTTCGAGGATTGTTCAAGGATTAAACACTTCTTTGCCCTTTCAGAAACAAGTTTAAACAACAAATGTCACCTCTACAAGACTCTACAGAGTTGAAAATTCACGGGCTCCCAAATAAAGAAAAAAAAAAAAAGAAAAAGAAAACAATAGATGCCCAAATACAGCTTTCCCTAGTCTTATGAAAAGTTCTGACACCTCATCCAACATGATTCAGAGTGTCAGATTATTTTGTTATTTTTAAAATATTTTTCCTAACATGCCATGATTAAAATAGCACATTTTCCAGCAATTGTCTAGCAATAACAATAAAAAAATCCCCATCATATGAAAAATTATTTTCCTTTCTGCTACAGAACCTTACCTTTTTTAAAGTTTTTTGATATTTTTAATGAAAAATATTATAAACCACAAACTTCACACAATTTTACATAAATAAACAAGAGCAAAGATGGCTGAACATGGGAGCTATGTGATTCCTGCTAACAAATGAGATTAGAGACTGCACAAAACATCAGAGTTCATATCAGATTGCTTTCTGGAGATAGAAGAAATATTCTGGTTTGGTTTGGTTTTTTTTAAATAGATTTTTTAAAAAGAGGATAAGAAAGAAAATACAAAAAAAAAAAAATTCATCCTCTCAGCTCATATAAACTTCCGGTGATCCTCCTACTGCCTCCCCAAAGTCAGCTGTGGAAATCTGCTGCCCTCATAGCCACCAGAGATTTGTCTCATAGTTGTACTTAGATACGGGACTGGATCCAGAGGAAAGATACAACAGTGTGCCTTGTGAACAGAGGCACTATGTCCCAGCATGGGTCAGCATAGGGCAATTTGTGTTCCAGTGCTGCACTCACACTTGACTTCACCATGCTCCCATGACCCCTTAGTCCCTCTTCTGGCAGCATACATAGCAGCACAGCCAGCACCACATGTGCACAGAGCAGAACTGGCATACACAGGCATCACAAATACACACAGAGGAGTGTAGGCCACTGGCAGCAGACTAAGCAACGCTTTCATACCACAAACTACTTAAGAAATATGTTCCTGTTAAAAAATGACTACCAAATGGAAAGGGAACATCTACCACATTAGTGCTCTCTCATACATCTGGTAAAAAGAAGGCCTCATTAATCAATTCAAGAACAAAAATATTTGCTTTTGAGGGATGCACTATAAATGCAATTAACATATAAATCTAAGTCACAGATGATTCTGGAAGTGAGCCCAGGCAAAAGCAACTTGGCACGCTAAAGTCCCTTGCATATGCTTGCTTGGGGGAAGGTAATTGTTTGAAGTTTTGTTTGGATCAGAGCAAAAAGTCATGAGGACATAGTGCTTAGCTTTGTGAAACAGTACTTCCTGCAAGAGCCCACAGCAGCCTCTCTCTCATCAAAACACATTCCAAAGTGCTCATGCTCCACCCTACCAACAACTTAATGGTCTGAGCCCAGCAGCAACTGCTGTCAGATTCAACCTCTAGTTAGTCTTTGATACAAATAATAATGACACATTTATGCAGTTTTATTCTTTTCACTTCACTCTCCACACATCACACTGTTCCCCTCTGCAGATTGCCTAGAGAGACCTAAAGGCAAACAGCACATCCTCTGATAGCCCACTCACCTTCCCCAGCCAGCCACAGCTCAGCCACACAAGCTCATCACCACTGGCTCCTCCAGCAAACCCCAGGGACCTCACAGCTGGGCTACAGTGTGAGGTAGCATTACCTTCTCCTTTCCGCTCCAAGAGCAGGGCATTTCCCAGCACAGGATAGCAGGGGCTGACACCCGGGATCGAGTTCAACATCCACCATTGCCTCCAGTATTCCATCAGGGAGGGCAGGGACCACACAGTCACAATTGTCAAAAGCAGAGCAACGACTCCAGCTCCCCAGGGCAGCAGCTGGGGTCGCCCTGAGAATGCTTCCACGACCTCCATCATCACCTCTCAGCCTCCCGCTCGGAGCCCTGATCCCTGATGAGGAACTGGTGCTGCCTGTAGCCGGCACTGCAGTTGCAGCAAGCCAAGTGAGCAGAAAAGTTGGCCAGAAGAGCAGGAGGTGGAGCTACCACACAGGCCACTGGCCTAGCTTCTTGCCAGGAAAACAATCAGAGTTTAAAAAACTCATATGGAGAGGACTGCCTGCTAGCATTTCCGAGTGGCAGGCAAGTCACAGGGAACAGTGCTACTTTCCTGCCCTCCAACTGAGGAGCAAGAACCTTCTTTGCAGGCCCATGCAATACCTCAGAAAGAAAAAACAAAACACCATCAAGAGAAAAAACACCTTTTTGCTGATTTGGGACAGATGTCTGAGGTTTTAGAATATAATAGTAAGTATAAAACAAAATAGAAGTTTTAGGGTAGAAGTTTGTCTTTCTTCTTCACTTTCTTCTTTGTGGGTCTAAGTAATTTTGTTTGATTAGATAGAAAAGTCTGCATTGCGGGCCACAAGTGGTTGGTTATTAGGTTAAAAATAAAAATAATTTAGGTATCATTTCTTAATTAAACAGTTAACCCTTAAAAGGCCTTGTAGAAAAAGAAATATATCTCCATTTTTAGGTTGTTAGCTTAAGGTACTGTAGAACTCACGATTTATAAAAATGTAACATAAATAAAAATGAATAAACATCTAAATCCAAACAAGAAATACCACCTCACACATTTAATCCTAACCCTAGCAAAAAGAAAATAAAACACAATATATAATCTTTGTCAATCTGTTCTCAGGTGCTCAACACCATTTGTCCACAGAGAACTGCTCCAGTGCTGTCCAACACCATGACCGAAGGGCCAGATGGAGAATAGCTTTTTCCAGCTGGACTGATGGCTTCAAGGGGTTACAAAAACCAAAGCCCATAAAGATCCCTGATCAACAGCAGCACTGCAAAGCACACTGATGTTCTCAGCTCAAATGGCCTTTACTGATCTCACTGTTGAATGCTCAGACACAGGCTAAAGGGTGCCAGTAAAACAACTGGCAGCACCAGCAGCTGTGCCCCAATTTGCAAAGTAGTAACACGGTAGGGTAGACACAGTACCAAACCCACCATATGCACTGCTGCCCCTCCTGCCTTAGGAGGATGCAGGGCTACTGAGCATCTGTTTCTCAAAGTAGGTGCTCAGAAACCTTTTGGTCAAACAGAATTTTGGTAGACGCAGCATGGCTCACAGCCAATTCACAAAACTTCATCCCCCAAATAAAGCACAAATGGTATTTATGGCCATAGTCACATTTATCCTCTTTGTTTTGTACTAAAAATGACTGCACAAGCATTTTTAGCAAATCAAAAAACAGCATAAACAAAACAACTAAGATAAAAAACAAGAACAGAAAGCTCAGAACATCAGAAGTAAGGTTTTTGCGACCCTTGGCATCAGAGGGGGGTAAATTTTGGCACTTTGTTCTTGTAATCTCCCAGCAGAGACTTTATCAAAAATGATGACTATTATATTTTCTGCACAGTAAACAGCTGGAAATGAACTTTGCTACTCTTGCTGTTGTTGTAATAGTTTGTGACAGAAAGTAGCAGATATATACCCACTCTTGCAAACACACAGGCAAGTTACACAATCATCAGTCCCCTCCTTTGTTCAGGTGACTTTCGAGGAAGGAAGCAAGCACATAGGATGAAGAGACTCACCTTTTGTCTTTTCAACATGGAGATCAGCTGAATAATTACATTCTCATATTTACAAAGTCTTGAAGTTTGTTGTCTTCCAATAACTAGATGAAGTGACTATTTGTGTTTCTGAGTAAAAAATCTGTACTTCTAACTGCTGATTACTCTTTCTACAGGAAAAAAAACCAAACACTGAAACAGCAAGGAGAAGGTGGAAAGGCATTGAGAAAGCAGCAGGGAACATTGAAAGCAAACATTGCAACATCCTGCCAGCAGTTGGCAATGGTGATGATGTTAACAAAAGGCAGCAGAAACACTGGAATGAGACATAAATATATATACCCAAGAAACAAGAAATGAGACGTCTAGCATCCTTGAGGGCTAATTATGTCACCAAGACTTGGAATCTTAACAAAATTTGTAGTATGTTTTATAAGAAATGAGTTTTCTACTGGATTGTAATCAGCATTTCCTTTTTATCCAGAGAGCTATTTATTCATCATTGGATTTCTCTGAGCACTCCACTGGTTAGTGAATCTTTGCTTTTATAAATGCTTGTAACAGTGCAAACCTGCTCTTATTCAGCTTCTTACCTAAGTGGAAGCCTATCTACCTCTGCTGACAGAAGAAAAGGAACCTGTTAGGCAGCTGTGTCAGCCAAGAGACAATGACAACACAGGCTTCTGCTGGTCCCTAGAATGCAGCCTGGATTCTTCAACAAGAAAAACGAATAAAATTATCATTAATAGTAAGGAAAAAAAACTAAACAAAACCAAAAAAAAAAAGCAAGGCAAGTCTAAAGCAGATCTGATACAACAGAGGGACAATAAAAAAGTACACAACTCATTCTGAAAAACTATTTTTTCTTAAAAGAAAGGCTTTCTTAGCAAGAGCTTCTTCCTTTCTAAACACACACCATTGCAACATTATTAACCTTTATGCAGAAAGCTACTCTGAAACAAACAGGCTATTTGCAGTCCACAACAGCCATCACCTAGACAAAGAAAATATAACACAGTATGTCTCCATTTCAAAATATGTCATCAACTGTACAGCTGGAGAGCTCAGAGTCCTCCCCAATCCTCAGAGAGGAATTTTAGGGCTCGATACTAAATTTCATGCCCAAACTAGGCTACAATAGCTTCATGTCCAAAATCTAGGCTTCCAAGAACAAATGCTGAGGAAGACTTCAAATCCTTCTGTGGACCCTTTCTCACACAGGTAAAGGAAATTAACAGCATTTGTGAGACAGAGACCACAGCTGTTTCTCAGAGACAGATACATTGGTTTGATGCCACCTCCATCAAGCATACCTTGTTTGGTTTCTGCAACCTAGTGTTCACTGTACAGCAGCAACTGCTTTGTTCCAAAGCCATCACTAGGGATCCTTCACTACAGGATATTTTGCATGAATAAATTATCTCCAACAGAATACAAAAGCCTGCCTCCTAAGAAACCATAATCTTCCCTACCAGGATAACAACACGACTTACAGTAAGGGAGACCACCATTCATGCTCCAGAACACAGATTATTGTTGTAAAACAAATCTGATAAGGTGTCCGTGATGTTGGCATAACTAACAGACAACACTAAGTAGCTTACCAAAGCACCACACCTGTATCTATTCACCAATGTGTCAAGGAAAGCACACACTCCCAAGCTGGATGATCACAACTCGTCCAAGGTCACAAGTGAAGATCCCACCCACTTTGTGATTTGCCTAGATTGTACAGGGACTCCTCCTTGCTGAACTCCAGCAAGTTTAAAGAAAGCATTTAGCAGCATGCAACACACTACATGAAGTGAGCCAGAGGTCATGAAGAATGAATAAACAGGGCAGTTTAAGACCAGGAAAAGACTTAAGGGTCACAGAAGCACAGCACTGCAAATCTGTTACCTGCATTTTTGTAGCATGGAAGATCTGGTATCAGTATTTGCACTAGAAAGTTTCTGTCCACATTTGATGTGCCTGCACATAACACAGTCATAGCTGTACAGCCTCTTAGAAGCTGTGGTGGCTTAGCCTTGCCCAGCAGTCAGACACCCACCCATTCACTCCCCTCCCTCAACAGGATGCAAAAGCTTATGTGCCAAAATAAACTAGAAGATTGCTTATTGGTTGCCATCACAGGCAAAACAGACCCAACTTTGGAAATTCAATTTATTTTATTAAATTAAATTAAAGACAATTAAAAACAGATAATGACAAAGTTAGAAATAAAGACAAAAGTTCCTCTCTGCTGCTTCCTCCTCATTCTTTTCTCCTGCTCCAGCATGTGTTCTCCACATGCTGCTGAGGAATCTCTGCTCTGGAGCCTGGAGTACTGACTCCTTCTCCTTCAACGACCTTGGTGCTTGCACTGCTGTTTTCCTCTCTTTTCCCTCCCCACACTCCTCTGTCTGTTGAGCATTTTTTTGAACACTTGTAAATACTTCTTCTCAGAAGTGCCACTGAGCTGCAGTAGATCCAGAGTGGAGTCAGCAGGAACTGTGTTCTACTCTCTAGCCTTTTTTCAGAGAGGTCACCCCAGTAGCAGCCCTGCTACTGACACCATGACACCTACACTCAGCTGAAAACCTACCATGAAACAATCTCAAGACTGGAAGGGGAAATAGAGGTGAAATGTCCTTTACATCACCCCCTAATGAGACCAGAAATGTCCATTACAAAGTGATGTATATATACAAACGATCAACACTAAATATTTGGAAGCCATACAGATGCTTTTCCTTACAATGTTCAGGGAAGAATCGTTCAGGACTAAACTCCTCCAGGTCAGGGAAAATCCCAGTAGGGCACAAGTTCTAACAAGAGTATTTGTGCCATTCAATACTTTATATCCTCCTAAGGAGAAAAGGGAAAGGATGAAGAATCAGAACAACAGCAAATAGGTGGGTGTCTATAATTGCTTTACCATTAAAAAAAAAAAAAAAAAACAAACAAAAAACCCAAAAAATCCTACTCTTTCCCTTTTAGAAGGGAAATCTTCCCAGTACTCTCTCCTGCAGATACTCCAGCACCCATCCCAGCCACCTCTACCTACTTAAAATTCTAGAATGGCCACATGGTGCATTCCTATCTCAATTTCCTCAATCTTGATAAAGGAGGAATGAAAAACTTACCAAACACCTTGTCCCATTCTCTGTGAACCTTCTTCTGGGCTCAGAATTACGTCCAAGTGAGCACAAGGGCATTGCAAGAGTGTGCAAAGAGGCAGTTAGAAAAGCAAAACCTCAGGTCAAATGGAAATTTGTCAGAAATGTCAAAGACTACAAGAAAGAGTTTTTCAGGTACTATAATGGCTTAGACCACGACTAAGTACCATACATACACCCACCCCAGTGGAACAGAGAGGAGTATCAGAACAAAGACAAAATCCATGGGTTGAGATAAGAAAAGTTTAATAACTGAAATATAGTAAAGTAAAATGAAAACAGGAAAAGAAGAGAGAGGACTAAAACCCAAGAAACATAAGGAATTACACAAAACAACTGCTTACCACCCACTGGTACCTCCCATCAGCATCCCCCCCGCCACCCCTGCAGTTCATGTACTGAGCAGGGCCTTCTGTGGTATGGAATATCCCTTTCACCAGTTGGGGTCAGCTGTCCTGGCCATGCTCCCTCACAGCTTCTTGTGGACCTTCTCACTGGCAGAGTATGGGACACTGAAAAGTCTTTGCTGTAGGGCAAACATAACTTAGCAAGAACTAAAACATTAGGGTGTAATCGACATTATTCTCGTACCAGTTTAAAACACAGCACTCTGCCAGCTACTAGGATGACAATAAATTCTATGCCAGCTGAAACTACGACAGGTAGATAAACAAGCAGAGACAGAAGGAAAGTATTTGCCTGCTGTTTAACAGGAGAGATAAATTAATCACCAACAAGGCTCAAAAGGCAGATGTACTCGACACTTTCTTCACTCATGTCCTTTCACCGGCACTAGGCCTTGGGAAAAAAATGCAAACACAGGCCCACTACCCGTGAAGGAAGGGTTCGTGTGTGAGCTATTACAGGAGCTTGGCCTCTACACATTGATGTGCCCTGACAGCATCCAAACAAAGCTGCCCAATACAGCTGCAAGGCCACTCTCCATAATCTTCAAGTTATGGAATTTGGGGGACATTCGAGAAGACTAAAAGAAGGCTAATGTCACTCCTATCTCCATTAAGGACTTCAGAGAGGATCCAGAAAATTGTAGGCCTATCCATCTTACTTCAGTTCCTGGGAAACCTATGGAACAAATTTTCCTGGGGACTGTTACAACTCTAATGAAGCCCATGATTAGGAAAAGCCAGCACAGATTGGCCAAGTACAAATTGTACTTACAACAAATGAACCTGCTTGGTTGATGTGGGGCCAGCGGTGAACGTTGTCTACCTGGATAGCTCCAAGGCTTTTGATGTGGTTTCCCCACAGCCTCCTCCTAGAGAGATAAGTATGTGATGGTGTGGATGTGTGATCCATGTGGTGGGTGGGGAATTGGCTGACTGGCCACACCTGGAGGGTGGTGGTAAATTGCTCCCTTTCACCCTGGCAACTGTCACAACTGGAGTCCCCCAGGGAATGACACTGGGCCCAACGCTTTTAGTATCTTCATCAGTGGTTTGGATTATGCGATCAAGTGTACCTGGGATGAAGTTTGTCAGCAATATCAAACTGAGTGAGCCAGTGGACACTTTGGAAGGGAGAGCCACTCTGCAGAATTAGGCTAACAAGAACCTTATGAAGTTCACTAAGTGCAAATGTAAGGTCCTGCACATGCAAAAATAATCCGGGAGAGCAGCAAAAGCTGGGGATCTACCTGGCTATGGAACAGCTCTATGGAAAGGGACTGGGGGTCCTGGTGCACAAGCAGCTCAGCTCAGTGTGAGCAGTTTGCTGCTGCAGCAAAGAAAGCCAATACAAGACTTAGCTGCATCAACACCAGGAAAGATAAAGTATCTATCCCACTCTACTCAGTTCTCACCTGGAATATTGCATTCAGTTGTGGTTGTTTCTTGTGCTATACAAGAAAGATGTGGATAGAGTGGTGAAGGTGTAGTAAAGGACAACAAAGATAGTCAAATTACTGGGTAGCCTGTCCTGTGAGGAAAGGGTGAGAAAACTGCATTTGTCCAGCTTGGAGAAAAGAAGGTTAGGCACACCTTATCACCATGTTCCTGTATTTAAAGGCTGGCAACTAAGAAGATGGAGATGCCCTGTTCATAAGGAGTCTTATGGAAAAGTGAGGAGTGATGTGTGCAAGTTACACCTGGGAAGATTCCAACTGGATGGAAAACTTTGCACAATGACAGCCATTGGAATAATCTCTCCATTATGTATGAAGTGGTGGATTCCCCATCACTGGACACTTAAGATTCAGCTGGACAGAGTGATGGGCCATCTCATCCAGACTATGCATTTGCCAGCAAAGACTGGACCAGATGATCCTTGAGGTTCCTTCCAACTGGGAATGAGTCTTTAATAATTATCAGGATGTAAGATGACCAGTGATTGTCAGGTGCCCAAAACCTGACCAAAAGGGAGAAGTGTTAAAATCCTTCTGGTAGACAGCAAACATCCCTCTTCCTCTCTCTTGCTACCTAAGAGCAATCCATTGTTGCTCTAGTAATTCACAAATCTTTCTTTTTCAGCTGCAGAAGATGCTTGTTGCTCTGCTCTTCTCTTCATTTGTACAAGAAATTGCAAAAAAGTGGGAATTGTCTTACAGTTTGTCAGCATGCTGGTTCAATTCCTCAGCATCTACAAACATGTTTGGCTTGGCAGAGGAAACATTACTTGCTGTAAACAAAGTTTATCCCAGCAGTTCCCATAGTTACGGATGATTAGAAGAGCAATAAATGAGATTTCAAAAGAATTAAAGGAAGAAGAAAAGGTTGGTACAGATAATATTTGTAAGAGATCAATTATAATAATATAAAAATAATCAGACAGACTGAAAAATGAAATGTTAAAAAAGCAGTTAAAGAGGAAGTACCGTGAACTCCTGTTTAAAAGTAGAAATTTTATATATGACTAACATTTAAATAGACTAGAACATCTTTAAGGAAACAAAAAAAGTGGAAACAGCACTTTATATTCTAAACATATCTTATTTGATAGGTAGAAAAACAATTCCTTAGGAAAGGCATAAAAAGCTGGGAATGCCTGAGAAGAAAGAGAAGAAAGTGCAGCCACAGTCTATTGATACTGCAAACAGAGCAGACACCTCAACCATTTATTTCATTTTGCTCTAAGTTTTAATCTAACCTCCAGTTAAATAATTTTAAAAGAAGGTAATGCAGGCATCCTGAGGATTTCAAGGCTCAGCAGACACCAGCATATGCACACCTTCTTTGTTACACAAGATACTAAGTGGCAAATTTAGTGCTTCAGTCTTTCATTCAGTGCAGAGGGTTTCTGTTTCTTCCTAAAACAGGTTAAGAAGCAATCTGAAATCTCTTTCTGGAGGTTGGAGGATTTCTCTGAAAGGATCTGGAGTAATTCTGCGAACCTGGAAAATACAAAATGTTAATTGTTGTCGTTTCTGAAAGACACGCCAAGATGATATGTGAGTTACTTCCACCAATGTGCTCAGACCAATGTTTGCTAACCTGCCCTTATTCTTACATTACCTGTTATATAATTATGTCAATGATATAATTATTTAAACTCCAGGAACTTCCAAACAAGTAAAGGTTACTTACAAAGACTCAAATGCACCAGGAACTAGCTAGTCAGCTTAATTGAAAAAATAGAATAAAATGAGCCACATAGGGTTGCTCCCTTTTTTGGGGTTGTAAATTCAAGACAGAGCTGCATATTTTTATGAGAGCTTCATATTTTTTAAATATTTTTTTAAATGTACATTTTCAAATCTACTTTTTCTTTGCACAAAAAGATTATTCATTTCAGACCCCAAATAAAATTTGTCATGAGCAGTTCACCAGCAACTGTGTTACTATTCTAGCAGCTGCTAAAATATCTAGCCTATACACCACATACTATTGCTATAGTTGCAAATATGTCAAAATATTAAAAAATAAATAAAAAAGAAAGATGATGAGATGAGACGAGAGGAGACAAAATCCTTTTTCTCCCATGTCATAACAAGAAAAAGAAGCTTCACAGGATTCTTACCCATAAGAGTTAGGACTACCTCAGAACAAGTGAGAAGAAACTTCAAAACCAAATTCAAAAGATCCTGCCAAGACAACCTGTACTTCTTTTATGCTGAGATGGCCCTCCCTAAGCACTACACTTTTTCACCGTATGATGGGTTAATAGATTTCATTGGCCTTTTACCTTTCAAGTCATTCTTCTTTGCCTACCTGTAATCAAAAATCCTTGACTGGTCCTTCTATGATTAGCAAAATCCACAGGAGTCAATGACTTCTTCTGAGGTGTGTCTCTCTGTAAAAAGGAAATATATACCATTAGCTAATATATATTACTGTTAGTAATAATACACTTATCTACAGAAAGGGTTTGATCATGTTTTTATGATCTAGTCCAGTGGACTGGATCCTACCAAAGTGCAAAGCTCCAAACAGCACTAAAAGTGCACACTTCTAGCGCACAAACACACCCCCTTAAAACCTGAAAAAAATTTCTTCTTCATACAATAGTCCCACACCCTCCCCAAGACTTTTAGCATCCTCCTATCTACAGGTACAGGAATCCCTGTACATCAGAAGTCAGGAAAGACCCAGAAATGAGGTTCTCTGTAAACCAACAATGGGCACAAAAGAAAACCTCTTCCCTTTCCCATGTCTCTGCTTACACTGTAACATACCCTGAATGTATGAGTTGTGTTTGGTCTTGAAAATTGATTAACAGTAATAGTTCTTTCTCTGAGTGGCTGTTGCTCTGTCCTGCCAGCTACTGCACTTGACACTCTGCTATGAGTGTATCGTTCTTGATGCTGAGAGAATTAAAAAGAGCATTAAGAGAAAGCAGCAATTGAATAAGTTAAAATATTTTTTTCTGTTGACATACAAAAGTTCACAAGAAGATAAGAAAAATATGTTTTCAATAACCAAAAGCACCAATTTACGTGTGCGCCTGTTTTTAAACAGATGCAAGACTGTTTCTATGCTGGCATGTTGTTATATCAACACAGAAATGTTGTTATATCAACGTGCCAATTTACTTTGATTCTGGTGATTTATTACTTCCCCAACCTTCAAAAATAGGCCAATATAAGATCTGGGTTTTTTCAGATGTTATCCTTTTCTACTTCATAATATAAGTCAGCATAATTTTCTAATTCTTATAACCTAACATTAGTAAATAATACACTGAAAAGAGCTATTTAAATCCAGAAGCATGGAAGAGCAAGGTTACTATCTTTTTATCTTGTTGGCGCTCTAGCTTTTTTTTTTTTTTAAAACAGGCTTCTTTTCTGTTGTCAGAGAAGTCTTTCCACTATGATCTGTCTGTGACCTAAGGTTTTAAACTGCCTTCTCTTGCATTGTAATTGCACCCCAACGTAACACAGATTAGAATGTTAAAACTACGCATTAAATACAAACCAACACAAATTGTAAAATTACTCGTTTCAACCAGTGACACAGTGTAATTTATTTCTAAATAACTTGAAGTTCTTTACTGGGAAAAAATGAGCAGAACTTACAGAGCTCTGTTGCCTTCGAGGTACTGGACCATGTTGTTCAACACCCTCAGAATTTATTGGTGGTAACTTGTTCCGGGTTGCAGGTGCACGAGCAGGAGATAAATGATCCCAGCTGCCAACCCTAATGAATTTTAAGGGTTCCTCTTTTAGGAGCGTTCACATTACAGATTTCTTCATTGAAGTAATATGAAATTATTAAGTAGTACATTTCTTTATAAAGCTCATCTACAGAAACTAACAGCACCTAATACAGCAATAAAGAAGTAAAACAAACGCCTTTATTTTAAAAATCATGGCTCTGCTTGCTTTCTTCTTCCCTCTGAATTCTACAAACAAATAAATAAATTAATCCTGGGTTAGTTCTTAACTGTTTTGCAAAATCCTTCGGTGGTGAAATTTCAGTAAAGTTCTGAGAAAAGAAAAGAATAAAATTAAAAACTCACAATTTTGTCCCTTTAGGGATTTCATCAGTGGACATATTAGGAACTTCTGAGCAGGGTTGGTCAGAGGTGAGAGAAAATATCCTTGGTAGTTTCCTAGAGGATGCCAGCAGAGCCGGAGATAATGAGAGAACACTGTTATCAGAAATTTTCCCTGCCCTAGCATGTGCTGAATTTGGAGTGCTAGAGGCAATGTTATGCTGTTTGTCTTCTTGCTCACTCCTAGGGAAAGAAACAAGGAATGAGGATCAAGAAAAAAAGGGTTTAACAGTGCATTACTTCAACCTCTGCAAATTAGTATTGTATCAGTGATACACATAAAATCACTGCCTTTTTATCGTTTGTTTCTAATTCCAAGGTATTTTTCACATAATGTGAATTATGTAGTATTTTTTAAATGTCAATGTCACCTACTGTATTTTTTCTGCAGTGGCAGCATGCCTCTGTTGGAGCGGTTTTGCTTGAATTGTCATCACACCGTTCAGATCATTACAGAGGTTGCTGGAGAAACGCTGAACCTATTAAAAACAAAACTATTAAAAATATTTTATTTATAAAAAATGAAAGTCTTAAACCTAACTGTTTTAGAAGGAAGATCTCAAAATGGACATAGTTAAGAGGTATTTTACTTGTTTTTTTACAGAAGTTCCTTTTAAGATGGTTCAGTATAATTCTCAGGAGTAGATGGGAAAACTATGCTTTTTTCTTTTGCTGATCTTAAACAGATTTTTATAAACACAACTTGTGTAATTAGTTACTGAATTGCAACTCAATTTAAAATATAAATTTCAGTTGAAGCCAGAGATTGATTCTTCAAACTTTCCATTTTCCCTCAGTACAGGGGCATGATTTACCATACCATTTTATTTCTCCTAGCTGCTGGGACTGCTACAGAACAAAGTACACCTATGGAGAGTACCAAGACTGCTGTGCTATCTTTCCTGTGTTCCTTATCTCACTGCTTAGCAAGCATGAAAAAAGAGCTGATGGAAGAAAATGAAGTCACGTGAAGTCAACAGAGAGAGACAGGAGAGAAAGAATCAAACAGAAGCAGTGTCTAAAAAAGAAAACAAATGTGCAAAAAACATGAATCAGGAGAGAGAGGGAGGAGACAGCAAGCAGGACAAAATAGTACATTTTATCAATATAAGCATGAGCTTCTACAAAGACAGGTAAGGCCTAGTGCCAGCGTGCTGGTGGATGTACTGCAGAATCCCCTTTCACAAGAGGCAAAGCAAAAGAAGGAATGGGAGTCTGAAACTCGCAATGTTGTGAGAAAAGCGCTTCAAGTTGCGACTTCACATCCCAATTTGTCTTCTTAATTCTACCATGAAGAAATTACTGGATCACAATAAAAGCAGAATTAGTTTTCAAGGACAGAATAGAATTTAACAAGATTTTGCAAATCAAAGGCAGCAATATCCTAGTGATAAACTGTACCTTTAAGGGCCACCAAAGGAAAATGAGTGACAATAAACAAAAAATGAACATTAAATTAAACTTCATTTTAAACTAGATTACTTGAAGTACACTTAATTGGTATAAAGAAAAAAAACATAAAGGAAAGAGGAAATAAAGAAAAAGAGCATTTTCAAGTTTTAATCAAGATAGTCTAAAGTTTGAAGAAAAAAATAACATTTGACAGAAAGGTTTGTTTTCTTTTTACCTGTGATGAAACAGAATGAGCCCCAAAAGATACACTTCGTGCTTCAGAGCCTCTGGAAAGAGGAATCGTCCCAGCATCTGCTGTGATACGAATGACTGGCAAATGCTGCATTTTTGCTGTAACTGTTTTCAGTTTTTCTATTTGTTGGTCACACTCTGCACAACAGCAAAAAAAAGTAGAGGGAATAAGCAATATTTTCTATGTTTACCAGCCATAATTTCTTGGGGTTCAAACAATATTACACTACACAGTAAATAAAGACTTTCACATAACTTTACGTTTCCATGCTATTTAAAAACCTAACATAAATGATGGGCTTTTGAAAGCATTTCCATTTGTCTATGCTTTCTCTGACACTGACATACAAGCTGGCCATATAGGCAGATTTGGAGGTGGCTGTTTAAGCAAATACAGCTTAGACCTTTGAAAAGTTGTCTAAAAATCCCCAGAGCTTTTCCTTTTTAAGTAGTAAAGAAAAAAAATTAAATATATATATTATCTATTGATACTAGCCTTGTCTGACAGCAGCTATACACTGTTTCATTTTGGGTATATGGTACCATCTTATTTCTATTATAAACCCAAATTATTTTCCTTCCTAGTTGAAATACTAGCTCTTTTTAATAAGCTTATGACCTTCAAAAATATAAAAGGACAAACCTATCATGATACTGCTAAATGATCCTTCCTAAAGTATAATACTGAGAGCTAAACAACTCACTTGTGGTGTCAAAAGAACTTTTAAATTACAGTAAAACCGGAAATGTTAATTTCTGGTGCTCTAAGCATTCAGAGAAATTTTGCCATTTCTCACTTTGTTATATTTTTATATTTGAGGCTGAGTGTACCTTACGTTAGAGGTAATTTCCAAGACCCACTCCTCAAGTATTCTTCTGTTACTTCTGTCCTTTTAAAATGCATTGAAAGAACTGAAATTTCCCTCAGCTTCCAAAGACAACACATGCATACTAAATCGATTTTCACTTCTACCTGATTTTCCTAGCTTCTCCTTTTCCTCACTACAGTCTGTTAGAATATGAAAACATAAAATAAAATTCTATGTGTCACCTTTTCTTCATCCTATAGCAAAGTCATGAACTCCTGCACACCTGCAAGATTTTCTATCTCACTTTAACATTCCGATTACCCAAGGGTTCTTTTTATTAATAAAGCTTAAACAGTGAGGACTAGGAGACTGATTCCTAGGTTCCAGATCACATTGTCAGTGATCCCCTGACTAATGATGACTAACAGCATCAATGTGCATCTTCACAACAGTGATTAATGTTTTTCTTTTTTTAAACATGCTCTCTTGTAATGAAGCTGTTTCAGTCAGTATTTTTTACACCTCTCATACAAAACTCTCTGAAAATTAGGAAGAAAGTTTTATTTTAGGGGCATGTGTGTGCACACATTCTCATGGCAAAGTGGTACATATGTTACAGTTCTACAGCACTACTTAACTAAAGCTTGGAAAATTTGCTTAATTTAAGGGGATAGGGAAGGATGACTTTTCTGAATTAGACTGGACAAATACTATATTTTCAAATGAAAATACCAAATACCTGGGATACTAGTTTCCCAATTTTTTTTAATCAGTTCCTCCAATATTCCAATGACATTGCTCCAGACATGATCAAATACTTCAGAAGCCACAGCATCTTTGATACAGGCATTGGGAGAAACAGGGGGAATGCCACGCTTACACCTCTTCTCAGAAAGACGCACTTTCTTTTGTTCCCAAATCTCATCCTCACTAATAAAGGAAACAAATTTAAAAGAATTCCCACGGGAACTGACTTCCCCCTCCTCCCTCCTTCATAGAGAAACACACATATGGAATAAAAGGCAGTCAGCTGGAGATAACCAAAAAATTCAAACTCAAATTCACCCCATGGAAGAGAACCTATCAAATACATATACTGATTTCTTTTTCATTTGCTTACCATTGAAAAATTTAAAAATCCCATTATGACATTACAAGAGGAAGATCTACAAGTACAGGAAAAAGTTTTATACGTGCCACATAGTCATTTGAGACTAAATCCTATGCTTTTTACAGTAACATAGGCAACATCTGTTGTATTTGTCAAGAGGACTCTCACACAAGAAATTGCTTTCTCAGAATGTCCTGTGTACCTGCATACATCTGTAATTTTCCACCATTGATCAAAGATGAAACAATTTTAAAGAATTTCTGCAGTATGACAAGAATAGTAGAGCCCACAGCCTTACACATACCTTCTTCCTCTACACTATAGTAAGGACAGTTACACTTTTTAATTTTTTTTCTATTTCCTCTGTATCTAGGGAAGCATGTTTTAGCAACATTTCCTAACTCTAACACACCCTCTCAGGAAGAAACCTTCTTCTTTTTTAATGCCATCATGTTCTTTTTTAAGGATTTTTTTTTTTTAGATCAAAAAGATGATTCCAAATTCCTACCGGTTTCATACTACTTCCCTTTCTCTTTTCTGTCACTTCTTCACGTTTTCCTCAAACCACACTGCATAATTCTTAACTGTACGTGAGATGTGGCTGAGTGGTCCAACTCACAAAATGACCAAGTTGTTCTCCTGTCAGGCTTTTTAACACCTAATGTTTTAATTATGGAGAACAAGGTATTTCAGAATTGAAGGAAACAAGAAGCATATGAAGGAAACAAAAGAGAGAAACATACCTTCAGAAAAGTCTCCCTCGCAAATTAAGTCTGCTTACTTAGTAAAAAAAAAAAAAAAAGAGAGAAGACTACTGAGAGCATTCTTAAACCTAAACGCTTCCTAAAAAGGCAGCAACTCCAGCCTTCTCTTTCAAAAAGAGCCCTGAAAGGGTCTCTGTCTGGTTCCTTAGGTTTTCAGAACAACCATGTCTTTGTTCTGAGTGTGCATAAGGCCTTGGCACAAAAAGCTGTGTTTTGTGCCCAATGAATCCTACCTAAGTTTTCCCCTTTTAGAGGCCTTTTAGAAAACAGCACATGATGATCTTTCATCCAGTCAGTAGCCTAGCTGCTGGAACACTCAACTGGCTCGCAGAAAACCTAGGCTGCACTGTCAAGAAGATGACTGAATGACCCTCACAAGAGTGCTCTAAATGCAGGCTGTAACCTGCAGCTCTCCTCACAAAGCTGCTATACTCTGCACAGAAAGAATTTAAGACTCATTAGGGCAGACAGTGACACCACAGTGTAATGACACTAAACAACCTGATGCTCTAGGCACGCACTTGAGGAGAAGGGATGCCTTCATTCTACCTCATCTCAAAATTAAATATTAATTTTATTGAATCACCATGCATCAAATACCTCAAAACAACTAGTGGTTAAGACACATTCCTCTGAAATGGGAGATCTGAGCTTTAAACCACTAGACAGTCAACACACCTAATCTTCCAAATGCCCAGTGAGTGTTCTGACCACTGCTACTGAACACAGGGACAGAAGGAACTATATCTTACACAAGAGTAACACAGTTTATGAACCCTGACTCAGTTCATTGATAATTTTTCATTACATTCTTCAAAAATACATATATCTGTTATTTACAGTTCCTTGTTGTCAAAGGCAAGGTATTCCTCTATTTTTCCATCCTCATCATAAATTTCTTCTTCCAGGAAGGAATACATGACTGAGTCTGAAGCAGAAATCCTAGTGGAACTTGACTCCAGTGATGTATGTATTGGAGATGCTGTTGGGATCAGTTTAGAGCCTAAGATGCAGAGCCTGAAAAAAGCATTAAGAATATTAGAATTAAACATTCAAAGAAAGGAGAAAGTGCATTTTTATTATACTGACATGTTTCAGCAGTACAAAAGTAATATTTATATGTGCTTCTGAAGGGGGAAGATCAAAGCAAAAACTTTAAAAAATTAACATACTCTTTTATATGACCAGTACATTCAAGGAGGCCAGGCATACACTTAGTATCTACATGGGCATCATTTCTGCTCTGAATATGCTGAACACCTTCATCCTTTGGCACTAGGAGCTGCTTTCCTAAAACCCTGAATAAAAAGGAGAGAACAAGCAGTATCATAGATGGAAACCTTAGTCATATGCAAATATCCAGAATACAAACACCTACAAACAGCAGGCAATGCAAAAGCACAACTAACATCTGCTATGATGGGCCAGAGCCTTGTGTATTACCTTAATATTGCCTAGTATTTAAGTCATCAAAGTTAAGCTGATTTACACAAGATGATATTCTATTTTATAAATTTTAAAAGCAAATAATAAAACTTGTTAGATTGTTCTAAAGGCAGACTTTGGAAGAATACTTTCTTTCTTATAAAAAAACTCTGTAAGATATATTTAAAAATGGATGCAGAAGACAAATAACATCTGCTGTGACTTCACTTATCCAACTCCAGTATCCATCAATGTGAGTAAAAGTGCTAACCAAAAATGTTTACATGGAAAGTTAAGGCTACAGTTAAAGTTCAGAAAACGTGCAAACTCCAACACAATGTAGAGAAGAAGAGAAAAAAGGTGAAAGCAACTCTAAAAAAATACACACAACATTATATAATGAAATAATTTCTGAACAACTTTACCTGCAATCATTTTATTAATCAAAATTAAGGGCATCAGTTGCTAAAGCACTGATTTAAAGTCCAGATTTACTGAACAACTACGGCACAGCTCAGTCCCAGAGATACATATTTGAATGCACAAGTGTGGCTGATGCCCAAACCATAAGAGGATACCCCAAAAATTCAAATTAGAATTGTAACTGATTAAAACTACTACTAGCAAGAATTTCCTTACCTTATGTGAGGAAATTGTTCAACCCAATCTGCACATTCTTCCTGCAGGTGCTTTGTTTGGGAGGTCACTTTTCCTTCAAACAGCATTTCATCAATCTCCCAAAACAACTGATGCACTCTCTGGGTGTTGGCTTTATCAAATTCCTATATATTATAAAGTTAACAGTTGTTAGCAAATATGCATGCATACTAAAATTTCCATGATATTTAAAGAACAGAACAACGTGTATCAACTTGGCTGAGCGTATCAGAATGCATGTTCAGACTATATATTCTGGACACAATTTATATACCACAATGCAAAAAAACCCCGAAAACCACAACACCAAAATATCCCATATAGCTGGGAACTGAACAAGTTGATTTATCAAAAACGATCAACACTGCACTTCTTTGACATTAACATGTAACATATAGCTGCTGAGAATTAGCCCTATACATTTAAAAAAAATAAAAACAACCAAAAAAACCCCCACAGTTTTAAGTTGTTTGAACACCCAGCCAGCTCCCTGTGCCAATGTGAAGCACACATACTGCATCTCTGGCACCCAGGACACCAAAGCTCCCTGCTCTTTCAACAACTGCTCTTCTTCCTCCTTTCTAAGTACAAGAGCTAAGAGGACAAAGAGGGGGCACCTTACACCTGCATGACTAGTCTAGTGCTTAGGAAACAGCTGTCAGTGTGAGAAATGCCCTTCCATACTTCTTCACTGAACCTACAACTCAGTGCAACTAGACACTAAGTTAACACAAAGGCAAATGAAAATAGTAGAGAAGTGCCTGATTTTATCCAGTGATGTGGAGACAAGCATTTGGCTGAGGGTTCCTCAGCTGGGGCACTATTTGTAATGACATTTGCCACTAACGTTAGATACTTTGATACACTAAAAAAAATTATAAAACTCAAGGCCCAAATCATGCTTGTTCACTTCCAGCTGAATGCCTCAAAACACTTGAGGCTACAGAAGGGATCAAACTGAAAAGGAATGAGAAAATAACTCTCACACAGGTTACTGTAATATTCAGAGTCAGGCTTTCTCCTGAAGGCCCTCTGGCAGCAACAGATGGGGTCAGTACCTAAATGTTAGGGCATTATGCAAAAAAAGAATATGGCAGAACTACCACTATCAGCCAAGGAAGGCTTTCTGAAATGAAAGTGGCAGCAACTGCAACACTTTTGGATTTATTTAATACTGCCAGCCTGCATCAGGTATGCCTCAGAGGTCAGCTTTGGTAACAGATGCAACCCCTCTCTGCATCATCTACAAAAAATAACTGAGTTTATGTTAAAGCTAAATATTTACCAAGACTGGGAAATTTATATGCATGTTCATAGATGTACTTTATAACTGAAAACACCGATAACAGTTCAATTTAGACACTGCCTGCACTATACACTGTTTGAAAAGACATGTTTTATCATTTGTTTGGATTCAGAAACCTAAGCCTACCTTCTTTCATAAAACAGCTTTGTTTTCCCCAAACTTCATAATTTATAATTTTATTCCATTTTTCTTTGTTACATATTAGCTGCACCAATACCAACTTACAATCAAAACTATTTTTAAAATATTTAATTAATACACTTATTCATTAGGCTACAATGGATGAGGTGCTGCATGTCCAACATCAGTAAAAACTAATATTTTCTACAATATTTACAGAAAGGGTACTGTAAAAGTTTCTGTGACATACATCATCCCTCCAGGAGTAAACCGAACTTCTTTCAGTAGACAAACTAGTAGTATAGCTGTTTATTCCAGACCAAGAATTATTCAACTCCGTGGGTGTTGTACAACCATTAGATGAAAGTGATGAAAGTGTCTCACTGAAAAGAAGACATTAATTAAATTGAAGAACACAATTATTTTCTGTAAAAACATCTTTTAAATAAAGCAACCTATCAAGTAAGTGGTGCAAGCAGGTACTTTAAAGTAGAGTGAATACATTCTCCTATTAGTACCATTTACTGCCTTAAAGGCAACTCCTTCTACACGACTATGTTTTTACATGCATATACACCATTGCAACTGTATGGCACTCTAAAATATGCATATGAATGTATGTATTTGAATATAATTATATGCATGTATCTGTATTTCCAGCTCGAACAATTATTTTGGTTCCTCCACGTCAGCTACTGATCACATGAAAAACACATGAAAGATAACATAAGCTTTCTATAACTCTTTCACATTAGAAGCTACCACAAGAAAACTTTTGCAAAACTAAGCACAAGATCTCTACAAACGTTTCAAATAGCACTGAGTTACAGGTCTCCATGCAGTGTTTTTATGTTAATAAATCTGGTGCACTTTAAAATTTGAACTGCAGCAACTCAAGCCCCCGAAAGTTCTAGCTGGTCCTTGCCAGCTACCACCCACCCCAGGATGCAGGGAAAGCAGTGGCAATTGGACGTGCAGGCCAGGCAAATCCTAACCAGTGTCATCTGGAACGAAATTTACTGAAAGTTAACTAATCTGTAAAAATGGTGAGCATGATTTCAATTTAATAATGAAATCTGATTTCCATTCCAGACCTAATCAGTGCCCTCTACGATAGTCTTATAATAATCCATATCATAAACTAGGAATAAAGTTCAAACCCTTTGAATAAAGTTCAAACAGCAGGCTACGTCAATTTGTATTCCGCATTATATTGTGCAATAGCTATTATCCATTAGAATGACCGGAAGAATGATTAGTGAAAATTTATTTCAATCTGGAAATATCTAAGTCAAAAGTGAGTTAATTAAGTATCATTTCAGAAGTGCATGCATACCAGGTATAATTGTCAATGGCTTCTTGCACATTTCTTGCAAAAACTGATGGAAGAGACACTCCACTTTTTCCAGAGAGACACCGATTTGGGGAACCTCTGGCAAGTCCCTTCCTATAGACACAGAAACATAACATTCCATCATTTTAAATACAGTTACTTCACATCTCTACTAGAAGCAGAGGTGAGGAGGGCAGGGGAAAGGAGGAGAGGAGGAAGAGAACTACTCTGATGAATTTTTCAATCCTATTCATCAAGACAAATATTTGCTTGAAGCAAACTACCTTGTTTTAAAATAGTTTTTATTTCCCTCACTTATAAAGGTATGCTTCCAAAAAAATGTACTTTTGAGACTTCTTTTACTCCATTGCCATCCTCCTTGGATTTTGCAGTTCAAACTTGCAGGAAGCACACATAAATGAAGCAGCACTTCACTACTGCAACAACAAAGGCACAAACCAGTAATTGCCCATACAACCGTTTAATGAAGGAATTTTTTTTTCCTTTGTTTGCAGGGGTGTGGCTTTTTGTTGGGTTTTTTTTGTTTCTTTAGGTGGAAACTGTTTATGATTACACAACTGCTCATAATTACATATTACATTCGATGAATGAAGTTGGCTTATTAATATGCTAAACTCACCTCTTCAGAACATACGCAGATGTTTGAAAGTGTTCCTTGGAAATACAACAACAGATTGCTTCACCTATTTTCACGCCATAAAACCCTCACAGTATGAATGCATTGAAGTGCATTCATGAATAAGTAACCACAAGAAAACAGCTCAAGAATTCACAGTTCAAGAATTTTCTTCATTTCTTTACACAAGAACTGTAGATTAGCCCTGCAACAGTTAGGATTGCTCTGTCTTCTTTCTATCCTTTCTGATATTTATCTTGTCATTATACATAGTACAAAGACACACGTGACAAAATCTAACTCCCCACTTAAATAGACCAGATCACATATCCTACTGCTATGTCTTGGTTAAAGAAGACAACAGAAACCTATCATAAGTTTGAATTTCTCACGGGGGAAGGCCTTAAATTTTAAATTATTGGGGACTGGTTCAACAGCAGTGGAAAGCAGTTCCATGTATCATATCCATGTTTCATATCCTGTATCTTCCCCAGGCATCTGCTTTTGGCCAGTAAGCACCAAGAGGCTCTATAAATATTCATGAAGTCCAGGCCCATGACTTGAATTTCATTTTGTCCTAACACCAAGATCTATCTCCCAGGAAGTAACGGTGAGCTCACAGTCCATCTTCTACATGGAATGTTTCCTTCTGCTCCTGTACATCCCTCTCTAACATTTGCCATGTTATTGCTCAGGCAGCCTTATAAGGTCTTTCCATTTTTTCCCAGCTGACCCTTGTTCTTAGTATTTTTCCACAACTTAATAGCACCACCAAGGTTTCACACTTCACTGCTCTTTACCTGCTCAAACTGCCCAGGTCAAACTCCCATGAAAAACCACTGGAGGAGAAAACCATTTACTGTTACCTTCTGCTTATTAATATCCAAACTAAACTTCGCCTAGCGCAACTTCAGGCTGTGTCCTCTTGTCTGGATGAGAAGTGGAGCAAAGCAGTGTTTCTGCCGCATTTTTCCACTGCATGTTGTTGTACTATGTCTCCTGACTCCTTGGATCACATGCCATTAGACGCGCCAGGAAATTATTGCAATAAGATAAAACGAAAGGAAAAACCCCTCCCAGCACATCTATAGCATCACTTCCCCTGCGCTAGCAACCGAAAGCCAGAAGCTGGAGCAGCTCCCGGCTTCTCACCGCAAGCTCCTCAGCGACGGCCACTCAATGGGATCAACAACACCGCGGCAGCGCTCCCGCCGCGCCGGCAGGACGGCAGACGGGCCACAGCCCCCGGCCCCGCGGCCGCACGCACCTCAGCACCGGCAGCCCCCGGCCCCTCAGCCGCACTCACCCCAGCACCGGCGGCCCCCGGTCACAGCCTCACTCACCCCAGCACCGGCGGCCCCCGGTCACAGCCTCACTCACCCCAGCACCGGCGGCCCACGGCCCCGCGGCCGCACGCACCCGGCACCGGCGGCCCCCGGCCCCGCGGCCGCACTCACCCCAGCACCGGCAGCCCCCAGTCACAGCCTTACTCACCCCAGCACCACCAGCCCTCGGTGACAGCCGCCCAGCGGGCCGGCGCCCCTCGCCCTGCGCATGGGGGCGCGGCGGGCGCCCCTCGCACCGCCCCCGCGGCGGCAGCGCGGCCAGCTCCGGCCCGCCCGCACCCAGGCCCGTTCCAGCGCCCGCTCCCCGCGCCGCGCCACGCCCTGCGGCAAGGCCTCGCACCCCTCCGGGCCTCCCCCCAAAAACCTAAAGCATCCGCCTGGGCGAGAGCGGTGCAATCTCCTCATCTTTCGCCTCGCAGTACGCAGCCAAAGAATGCCGAGCTTGGTCTTTCTGACCAGAGGTGGCTTCCCTCGCCTTCGTAGATGAACAAAGGTTACATGATGGTGGCCAACTACAAAAAGATTTTCCCTTGTTAATTGAGTTCTCCGAACTACCCCAGTGCACATCACCGATCCTCCTCAGCACGGATGCCAGGGCAGAGCATAGACTGTCAGCTGCAGATTTACACTAGCTCCAGTAATCCACTAGCACCATGCATTCTAGCTCCAGAATAGAAAAACTTTGGCATTTTGCACATTTTCCAGAAAGCCTCTCTTAAAGGAGGAAGCAGATTTCCTCATAAGCAAGAATAAAATACAAGAACGAGAAAATAAAAGGAGAGGCAACATTAAATATGCTGAAAATTAAGACTGAAAAAGCAAGGCATGTGAAGCCTCACCAGGCCTCACTCAGGAAAACAAACAGCAGCATTTAAATGACATTTAAAGTTTCATAACCAAACAAAATATTACTCACTAAGAAAGGTTTATAGAAAACACCCAATATTTGTTCTCTGATAATATTTTTTTTAACCTGTTTGGTAAGAAAAGTTCCGCATTCCTCAAAGCCCCATTCTTCTGTGTCAGTAAATCATTAAGAAACTGCATGTGTAATAACAACTTTCCTTGTCCTTAGCAATCATTCTTCTATAGGAGCAGGTTTGTCCAACATCTCAGACACATGCACACACACGAAAAGAGAGTCCTCTGTAAGAAAAACTTATCCAAGCAGATGAAATCTAGAATAGCAAGTTATGTCCTGGTTAAGAAAATGCAATTTTAACCTTCCACCTTCTCTTACATTTCCACAGTGTAGAGACCAAGAGCAAGAGTTAAATTTTGTGCAACACTTTTGGAAGGCTTTTTTGTCATTGCAGCAACAAGATTCAGCCATTGGTCACTCCCACACCTTACCACCACAAAACCCCATTATATCATTTGCATTTCTCTAAACCAAGCCCTTTCCAACCAACACAATGATAATTATATGGATAAGTATTTGTGAAGGAGTATATTATTAGTACTAATACTACTTCCATGACTTTACCTTGGAACTGGAGAGAACTATCCAAGGACATGCCAAAAGGCTTTCAGCCAGAAGAGTTTAGAGAAGTCAACTGACATAGAAAAATGCTAACTTTATTTTCTGTCTTTCATGCTATGAGACCTCTTTAACAAATGATTCAAAGTCTATTCTGTAGCCATAGTCCCTGATAGAAAATACTTATTATGCATTGCTCCCTTGCCAATGTAGAATATCCTAATCTCTAATTGAGCTGCTGCCTTGTTGTCTGAAATAATTAATTTTCTCAGATTTCACATTTTTACATGTTCTTTACTATTTTGGAAGCATGATTTGTTACAAATGTAAACATACTAATTACATCATGCTCTCATAGCAAGATATGCTTTATCTTTTTACCTACCATTTACAGCTGAGACAGTTAAATGTGAAAAACACAAGAAGGCTCAGGGGGACCTTATTACTCTCTAAAACCACCTGAAGGAAGTTTGTAGCCAGGTAGGGGTTGTTCTCTCCTCCCAAGTAGCAGGATGAGCAAAAATAGCTTCAAGTTGTGCCAGAGGAAGTTGAGACTGAATATTAGGAAAAATATCTTCACTGAAAGGGTGGCCAAGCATTGCAATAGGCTGCTCAGGAAATTGGTGGAATCACCAACTCTGTGAGTGTGGCACAGTTTTATTAAACACCTCAGTGCTGGGTTAATGGTTGGACTTAATCATTTGGAGGTCTTTTCCAACAGTAATGACTCTCTTTATTCATTGGGGAGGCCTATGGGCCTGCCACAGGCTCCACCTGCAGCCTTGCCCTGGAGGAATGTCCTTTGAGTGGGCTGTGATGAGCTTACCTCAACCCTCTTGGAAGGCTGCTCCTTAGGTTGGCACACCTTTTCTTATCATGGTGAGCTATCTCCAGAAAAGCTTCTGTTATCCCACCATGCCTTAGTAGCCATATTAATCCTTTGTAACCCACTGGTCTTTCCCCCTTGGTACCACTCTTGCTTTCCCTCATAAAAACCCCCTAGTTTTTCCCCTAGTTCTTTAGGGAGCTGTCATCCCTGGCTCCCTTCCCAGGAGGAATCTCCAGTCTCTCTGTCGCTGAGTCGGCCTGAGATAGCCTCACAAGCAGAGCTGAAATCACTGAGCTGATCTCACTGAGAGCTGATCACTTGTGGCCACGGCCACCGCTTGCTGAGGCTTATCCGGCAGCTAGGAGACCTGCCAGAAGAGCCCCTAGAAGGCAGTCCCCTGCGGGATTCTTTCTCTGGGAAGGTTGGTGGCTTTCTGGGTCTGGAACATCAGATCTCCACGGACCCCCAAGCAGACAACAATTCATTTCACTCATATTCTCACTTTCTGCTCATTTGTCTATCCCACACTTGGTTTGTAAAACCAAGAGATTATTATTATTTGTATGCCAGATTTCGATAAAACTTTGATGTGAGAGTATTAAAAAATATCAAACTATAAGCTCTTTCTAGCATAAATGTGGAAATACATCTATGGGAAAACAAAGGATTTTCTTAAACTGGTCTGGGACAATTACCATGGAAGTCTGATCCATGGAGGATCTTTGGGAAGAGCACTTTCACTCTCTTGTAATAACTTCAGTGACCACAAACTGCCAGGTATAACAGACAGTATCGAATGTCATTGGCAGATCCCCGAGGAGATCATACTATCCTGAAGACTGCTGCAACAATTGTGCCAGGGCTGAGCATTCTTACACTTGGTTAATACAGCAGCACCAAATTCTTCCTTCAGCAGTCTGGACCTTTTATGGGATATATCCAGTGACTTTTACAGCTCATGAAAACAGTCAGTTTGGCTCAACATTTAATCACTTATTGCAGCAATACAAAGAAAATCCAGGTAGATAATAACAATGCCTGTCCCTGCTTGCAATTTCTATGCCTCAGCTTTCTTAAAGTCAGGCTCATTGTGGCTTATCTTGAAAAAGCATCCTTGGACTAGTTTAGGTAACTCTGGTAGGTGCATGTAAATGAAACAGAATCATGAGAAAATTAATAAACATTCATCTAGCCTTCTGCAGAAAATTATTTTAAGGCAGCTAAAATATTTGGCTTGTTTGTTTAGAAATGACATGGCTTATTAAGGAGAAAGAAAAAGAAAACCTGCCTTGAAAGGTAATATAGTAAATGTTGACTCTCTTAGCTTCTAGCAACACATCTTTGTCATGACTGTTACTGAACATGCCAGAGGCTTGACAGCTAGTAAAAATACACTCCAAAAATTATAGCACATCTCCCTTGGTAAGT